TTCCTGCTTACTGAAAAACTAGGCATAAATATGCCATTAAAAATGAGTATTATTGATTAAAAACTAGTGAAACATTAGTTTTCAGTCCTTTAATTTTAAAAAGCTTCATTTGGTTGAGTACTAATGTTATAACTTGAGTCAAAGAAGAAAGACAAAACGTTTCTAAGTTGTTCATTGTCACTGTTGTTGACCTAGATTCATCTTAGAGTAAGTTTGACTTGAAAGTTTTCAGTGAACTGTGCTGAGTCTGATCTCCCCAAACCGTAGCATCTGTTCTGTATTTACAAACTGAAATCACTATGGATGTCAAATGCAAGATTCCATTTCCTTTAGAAAATAAGTTGTTTTTTTTTTTTAAGAAGTTTACACCAAAAATCTTTTTAGACCTTAAAGTTTTTATTTTTTGTGGCAGGGTAGCTAATGTGTAATCATTGCAATTTCTTTCACCCAGTACCTTGCCAGACTGTTTTAGATTACTTGAAGACGGTGCTACAGCATCACAACCAACTCATGATCCCACAACCAGCTGATCAGCCAACTGAGGTAGGTCTCTAGTTAAAAGATAAATGTTGTTCCATTTGGAATTTCCTTAAAATGAAGCATCTTGATGGCTTACCCATATATACCAGAACAGCTTGGCTAGCAAAATACATTTTTGAGACTCTGAGATTTATGGATCTACTACCTATGGGTATATAGACTGTGGCGAAAGATGGTGCATGTATTTAACTCACAAAGATTCAGTTCTGTACTGAGAAGAATAACAGAGAAATAGCCATTTAAATAGTGTGGGCAATTTTTCCACAATTCTTTTGGCACAGAGGGGTATTGAAATGGGAGACAGCAACTCGTCCTTCCCTCAGGGAGAGCCTGTCAAGAACGCCTCTTTCTCTGAGGCATCTCCCATGCTGAGACTCTCAAGGGTGTCGAAAGGTGTTTTCCATACGTCAAGGCCCCTGAACATGAGCATTTCCTTCCTCTGCGCCTCAATGGGAGAGACCACAGTTTCTTCCAAAGCATAGAAAAAGTGGTCTGGTTTGATGGTAATTGTATATCTTGTTAAAAACACGGTATGTTTTTCCAGGTTTTTTCAAGGCTCAGTTTTGAGTATGTGTTATTTTCATCTTAGGGACTTTAGAACCTAAATCCAGTGGAAGAAACGACTGCACTGTACCTTACTGGAGTTATAAATGTCTAGGATTGATAACAATAGATAATGTTCTAAGTAGTTAAATTTCCTTCATTTAGTGAGGCGAGTTATTCATGCTAATAATGGTAGAATGTTGACCCTCTCTGTCATCTCGAAGTCATATACCCATTGGCATTTCCTTTGTCTAATTAAAGCATCTTAAAAGTTTTACCCACATGCTTACCAGTTAGTAAATCCAGCTACACACTTGCTGTTCCCACCTGACCCCATGCCTCTCTGCTGAAGAAAGGCAAGAACACGTGACTTCCCAGTTCCCTGCACATAAAAGACGGGATGAAAAAGGTGGAGTCGGTCTAGTGCAGATTGAAGTTCTCTCACCTTCAGCGTGGCCTGAGACTTGTTCAGCAGTTGCTTCCTTTCTCTGTAATTTAAAGGAGGGATTTCCAAGGTCTGGGCCTTTTCTCCAACCCCCACCTGTACCAAATTGCACCACACTTACTTCAGCCTTTGTGCGTACCCTGCACCCCCATGGCAAGTGGTTCCCAACCCCCTCGCCGATGCCAGCTCACCCACATCCATTCTTTCACCTAGCGCTGTCCTCTCCCATCTTGGACTTTGTGCCATCAGTTTTTCCTTGTCTTGTGCACTGATTTCTCTCCTGCTATTGGGTCATTTCCCTGAGCATCAAACACTCAAGTCTTCTCACCCTGAGAATAAGCCTCCTTTTGATTCTCCCTTCCTCCCTCTCTAAATTATTGGGGGTTTTTTGGTTGTTGTTTTTTTTCACCTTCCATCACCCAAAGCATCTCCTGTCGGCACTTTCATTCTACACCACAACACATCTCACTCCTTGAAGGTTAGGCCCAGGTCTCATTCCCATTAGCATCCCCAGTGCCTGTCATTGAAGGCACTCGCTGAATGGTGACCTCATTTTTTTAGTGATTAAACACTTGATAGATTGGTCTATATTCATTATCTCTACCCTCTTAGTTGTCATTTGTAATCTAGCTCCACCTCTACTACTTGTCAGATTGTTGTGCTTGAAGACCCTGGTGGCTTTCCCAACTCCAGCCCAGGGGCCCTTTCTCCACCCGTGGTCATCCCCAGGACCTCACCCTCCTCCTCCTCGTTCTCTCTTTCTCTTGTCCTTGGTGTCAGAACTCTCCTGGTTCCCTGTTCTTTTCTTAGCGTGCTTTAAGAAGTTTTCCATCCCCTGTTCACCAGAGTTTTATCCTTCATCTCCTTCTCATGCTCTCAACAACCTTTTCTCTGGTCAGTTATGTTCTGTTTCTGAACATCAACTCCATGCCAGTTAACAAGCCCCAAATCTAGACCTAGACCACTAGTCCCCAGGGCTCAACTCGAGACCAGTGTGTGTCCAGCTGCCTGACCAACAGTGGGATGTCCATGCACCCTCAAACTCACAACACCTCCTCCAAATACCCATTCATACTCCTGTTTTCCTGCAGTAAAGGCAGCACGAACACCAGGCAGAAATTTCTGACGCATTGCTGACTCTTTCCTCCTCATTCCTAACATCCACTTATTTTACAGCCATGTTGGATAGTCTGTCTTCTCTCTAGTTCACTCTCACCACTTTTCACCTGAACCGTTGCAGCAGGTTCTGTCTTCATTCTCCACACTAGAGTTATTTTTCTAAAATTCAAATCCAAAATAAATTGTCATGTGTTTAAAATCCTTTGATTGCACCTTAGAATAGAGTCCACCACAATTTCTTAACTTGACATTTCCGTTATGCACAAAAGGACATCTGAAAAGCTCATTTCCTCCAAGAAGCTCTCTGTGATTGCCATGTCCCCTCTGTTCTCACAGAGCATATTATTCATGTTAATGTACACCTGTATCTTGCATTTGGTTATGAGTCTGTTCTTGGTTTTTTCAAAGTTGACTCAACTATAGGTCAGAGTTTAATAACCTTTTGGTGGCTAACTAAAGAGAACATGCAATCAGAATTCTATAAAACATAAAAATAGGGAAACACCTACATTTCCTCTGGATAGAACTATTTAAACTTTGCCCATCATCATTATTATTACTATATTATTTTTATTGTCATATCAGTCATATTTTCTCAGTATTATTTATCACATTTTATTTTTATTAACTATGTATGATAAATCTCATTTGCAACACAGAGAGCATTCTGGTTGTTTTGGGCTGTAAATCGCTTTTTCTTTTACTTTTGTTTTTTTTTTTTTTTTGAAGAAAATTACCTCCAAATGGTATTTCTCCATTTATGTGAGCTACAGTTTATGGAGAGAAGCTACACTCTAGAAGAGCGGCAGAGCTCTTTTGGCTGAGTAGATTATTTTTAAGGGTTTGAGAAAGCTCCTTTCTTGGATTGTCAGTTCCCTTATCTCAAGTACTTCACATCTTGAAATAGACTCAACTCTGGGTTGAGGGATGAACTTTGAATTTGGGGACAGGATTCTCTTTGCCTTTTGACTTGTGAGACTTTGGGAAAACATTTAACCTCCTTGGCCAAACAGCTACGGGAACCAAGATTCAATTCAAACCCAAGCTGACTCTAAATTCAGTCACAAACCATGCAACTCAAGTGCCTCTCTTAAAAAGGAAACTGAGCTACACTACTGCTAATTCAAGGAAGGGTGAATGCTGAAGTGATGAGCTTCCAGGATATAATTTGGTGACAGTTTCATAGCCAAATCTAGCTGCCTCCTTCCTGTTAGCTTCTGTGCCATTTACTGTTCTCAGCATTTAACTAAACAGGGTTTTATTTCAAAAATAAAACCCTATCAGACTCAAACAGTGCCAAATTTATAATCTGTACTATATTTGTAGAGTTGTAAAACTGAATGTGTTTTCTTTATTTTGTACACCTTAATTACTGAGGAAGGAGTACATTAAAAGTGAGATCATGGGTTAATTAATTTGTTCTGGACTGTAGAATTTTATGGACAACTAGAACTAAAGTAATGGTTGTGTAGGTGCAGTTGACTAAACATGGCTTATAAATGTAACAGAAATTCCCATAATTAGTCCCACTGCACCTGTTTAGCCAGAGAATTTTATAGCAGACATAAATTATGAAGGTGAAAAGTAAGAAAAATTTTCAGTTGACATAGTGGCATTTGCAAAAGCTATAATTTGAGGAAACCTGGTTTGTGTTATTAATGTGGTTTGGTTTTTGTTTGGTTTTGTTTTTCTTTTTGCAGGTTCCACAACTCCCCCTTTTTTAAATTTACTTTTTAAAGTTGTTTCCACTGTAATGTAATCAATGGCTATCGGGTGTTAAGTACATAAACACAATTTATACCTTATGAAAATAGGCGACCAGCATCATTTCTCGAAGTACTTAACTGCCAACCAAAGGGTGAAGAGGCCTATTTGATCACACTCTTCAAAGTCATTTCTGCATATTTTAATAGATTGAAACAGAAATTTACGGGTTATATTTAAATAGTGTTCCCTGTCATTGGATCTTGACACATTTTAACCTACCTGTTAAAATGCAAGTTATAAATAGCTCCTCTTTCAAAGGTGTTCATTATACCTCATTGGCTCTTGTTATAGAAAATGCAAATGTAATTTGAAAAGTGCCCGTTCTGAGTGTGAGCAATTACTTGTGCTCTTCAGTACCTGGTTCATTGTCAACATAGCCACTTGGTTAAAAAGCATGTTTGCCTTTGAAATGGAGATTGCCTGGGCTTCTGGCTGGCTGGCTAAGTAGGTAATGAGAAAATATTTCACTTTTCCAGGGAAGCAAGCAGCTGTTGAACAACTATCCTGTCTACATAACGAGCAAACAGTGGGATGAGGCTGTAAATTCTTCAAAGAAAGATGGGAGACGACTTCTTCGATACCTCATCAGATTTGTATTCACAACCGATGAGCTTAAGTACTCATGCGGCCTCGGGAAAAGGAAAAGGTCAGTGCAGTCAGGAGAGACGGGTCCTGAAAGACGCCCTCTGGATCCAGTTAAAGTAACATGCCTCCGAGGTACTGCATCCTTCCGCTCAGTGTCGCCATCTGTGATCTCATTTCACCGCATTGGCTGTGGCTCCCTGTGCAAGTGTTCAGCCTTTACTATATTTTGGGTTTTCCCACTGAGACCTTTTAGGCTTCATGTGGCCCATCTAGTTAGTATTAAGATATTCTTTAAAAAATCTTCGTTTGTTTTAGCCTTGGTGTTCTCCCTGAATGGTACATAAGCATTGTATAGCACCTCATGTTTCACGCTTTAAATTCACATTTTCTTTGCTGCCAAAGAAGGCCACCTCCAGCAAAACTGGAGCATTGGGAAATGCACAGAGGAAAGGAAGATGTGGAATTTTTTTTAAATTAGTAAAATGTTATAGCCCATTTCCACTTGCAGCCTGTGGCCCACCCCCTCCCCAGCCCACCTAGCTACCTTCTGAAGAATAATTGCCCCAAGTCCTTAAATTTATTTACAATTAATTTTCCTTAGTGCCTAAATTATCCCTTGCCCAGTCAAACTTTATTCTGTTAGTTTTTTTAAGTTTCTGTATTATTGCTTAGGTAATACCTTTTGTTCAGTATTAACAGCTGATTAATTTGCAGTTGGTCCACACTTGGTAGACTAGGCAGACGGTGAAGAGGAAGAATTAAGAGATACACAGTTGATTCAGCAGGTGCAAATAAACGCATAGACAAATAGAAACATGGTGCCAACAAAAACACTGCTCACACGTGAAAAATTCATATCAAAAATTTCAAATAGTAACCTATGTAGTCCAATAGTAATTTTATTGCTGGGAAAGCCTTAATAATGACTTACTCTGGATAAGGATCAAAATATTTCCTGGCAAGGACGTCACAGTGAAAGACATGATCACTGATCAGGCCTCGGTTATCAGACAGGACACTCACTCCTGCACTCCCTCCTGGGCTGCCCACAGTACTTCTTTGCATGCCTAAGACATATGTAGTATTTGCTAGCCGCTGAGATTCCTCAGGCCCACCCTGAGCTGCTGATTCACAACCACCCCAGGTGATCCTGATGCAGGTGGCCCATACTTTAGAAAACCACCTGGAATGGAAACACCTATAATAAATAGGCACAGGTGCTTCAGAGCACTCGCTGTTGGCCAGTCTGAAAGTTCCACTAACTCGGAGTGGGTGTGATGGAAATTTCTAGGGTTTGTCTGGGCAAACTAGCCCAGTAGTGTTCTTTATTTTCAAACGCCATCAAAGCTGACGAAGTTACCAAGAGTGACAAGAGGCAGTGGTGAGCTTGGGGGCTCTGGAAGATGCCCTCAGGCTTCTAAGGGAATTAGGATAAGGGGCCTCAAAAACTGGTAACCTGTTCCAGAAATTCTTATTAAACATTTTACATTTTAACTAGCAAGTCAGTAGAACTGAGGAATTAACATACATCCCAAAACACCAGTGCTGCTGCCTTGAGAATGCTGCCAGACCCACTGTGATGCTGATGCAGTCCAGGCTGCCTAACCAGAATCTGCGTTCTCCAGCTCGTGCCTCACCTTCACCCAGCCCTTGAGTGGAGACTACATAGGCGAGGGACGGTTACTGTCTGTGTCCAGGGCAGCTGGTTAGAGCATTTACTATGTCTGTCCCCAGGGCTGAAATCCTGGGGCCTTCCTGTGACCTAGATGAGATTCCCTTCCTAAAGGTTTTGGTGACTCCAGGGGTGGACGTCACTGTTGTGGTGAGCAAATACAACAGCCAAGGAAGCCTCAGGCCGTTGGACACTTTAGTGATGGAAAGGAGGGTGCCTTGGAGAATGAAATCAAATCCTTGGCTGACCTGCCTCCATAGAGGTTTGACCATAGAGAGAAGAAGGCCTGTGAAGATGCTTCATGTCTATGTAGTGGAATGAGCTCTGCTTTTAGCTTTTAATAGTCTGTCACACAGTATTAGGGAAAGTCTTCTCACAGCAGTGGATGCTGAGAGTGGAGGTGGAAGGTATCACAGAGCAGCATGTTCCCAGAGTGGCAGGATTGCAGCGTCCCCATCCATTAGCCTTTATTTCCTCTCGTTGGTACTTTGAGTCTTTTATTTCCTTGTGTTCATGTGAGAGTTGGGGATCTGGACAGAGGTAGGAAAACTACTTAAATAGTTATTGT